ATGCTAAATCACTTACAAGGTACCGCAAAAGGCAGTGCAAAAATTTGATGAAGCTTGCATTCTACTTCTGATCATCTGTCATCAAGCACGGTAGTTTTTCCAGCAATAAGTAAAGAGAATTTGCCAATAAAAGGCCGCATTATCAATAATCGATCACATTAATTTGGAAACTCCGGCAAAGCGAGATATCGACTCGACAATAATATAAGATGCAACTCTGTGAACAAGTTGTAAAAAACAACTACTCCCACCAACATCATGAATTTTGTTCGCGTTACCCCACACCAGGATCGTTTAGTCGGTAAAGCGCTGCGTTCATTACCGACAGCTCTCAGGTTAGAGAGCTTCGATCAGTTCACTTGCCTTTCTTCCTTCACAGGCAAATGAATGAGTATCACGCTGTGAGAAGGAAACAAGAGGCTGCAAACTATGCTCTTCATAGAGTTGAAGTCGCCTTTGCCATTAAAAAATGAACCACTCCCATCTGATGGCACTGAAATGAAGATCAGCACCCTCACCACTACCATCAGGAAATGAAGACTGCCAGAATGGCCCCGTCATGAAAGTGCAAGGGAGACCGATAACCGAAACTTTATAAATTTTCCTTTCCTTCATCATCTAGTCTTCAGGGCAGCCGTGAAGGCCGATGGTTATGTATAATACAAATAAATCAGTGTCCCACTTCGAGTAGTAACGAAATTCACCTGTGAGCGACTATAGCCTTTGTTTCGCATAAAAGTTGAAAATGTTTTTCGTTAATGTTCCACACGACTTGACGTTACACATATATTGGGTCTTCGAACGAAGGCACCACGTATATGACAGTTCAGCACTTTCGTTAATTTGAAAACATTCTAACAGTACAACGAATTCAGTACATTCTAACAAAGCAAATAAAGTTCCTTAACGACACCTCTTCATTGAAATATGACACTATAGAAGGGTGATCCAAATGCAACTTATAGGCTAATGCCAAAACATGTCATCTGTCTGTCTTACCTAAATCTATTTAACCACACGACGCAACAAATTAATAACGTAACAATAATAAGACCAAAATCTAAACACACACAATCAGCAGTAAATCTACACATAAGTTATGGTATATCGATCAATACGGATTGATAAATTTGCATGCGGAACCCATTCACAGTTTTACACACACTTGAAAGTAAAAATTTTACGCAGGAGCAATCCTCGTAATATCTTTGAGGATAAATCACGTAAAAACGTATGCCACTGCAGAACCGGTTACTATACCTACAACTTAATACGAAACGTAAATTTTTAAACGAGGGGAATTTGCTTTATGCTACTTAAGCATCGATCTTTCGGAGTTACTGTATAACTAGGTGGCTACGTAAAATATGACCGTAATCTTTAATGGCTAATAAATTTTAGGGCTGATTGTTTTTGAATGAGGCATGGTGAAATATGTAAATAATGAGCCGTAATTGTAACTGGTTTTCACAGCTCATAACAAAAAGTAAGTAGTTGATTGATTCCTCTTTCATTTTAATTCATTTAATTGTCGCCGATTCTGTGTCAAATTTGTTAGAACTCTAATCCTTGTAAAGTGAGAAAATAATAGTCGAATTGCCCATTTAAGAACGTTTCTCTTAGAAGCAGAAATGTTGGCAAACATTCTGCATGGTACTTCGACGTGCCAAAGAACGTGGTAGGATACATGGTTGAAATATAGGGTAAAGCCAGGAAACAAACCGAACACCGGACGGACCAGTCACATTGAATACGTGGCACTGTCTCGTTTTGAAATTTATTCTCCAGAAGCTACACGATTTCCAGGGACCAAGATCACTGGTAAAACCTCGCGAGAATGCAGGAACCGCGTTCTTGGATAATGATGAATCAGATCATACATGCATCATACAACATCATGAATTACCACATCCTCGACTTACCGTCTTGCTTTTTAGCCATCGGCCTTTCTGTGACTTGAGATTGGGTATGTACTCCATAGCACATGCAGCTCAACGGCTGTTCGTACTTGCAGTCATGAACAGCTGTACTTCTACATTCTGAACAATGATGGCCACATTGGTGCGTTGGGCCATAACCGGATCTAAACACGTGCACATATGATCGGTGTCGCGCCGGTGGTGCCAGATATGGTATGACGATTCTCAAATGAAACATGGTCAATTGGGCAAGTAGTATCTGTTTTACCCTCTGTTCTGGAGACATTCGCAAGTCATTCCAAAACCACAGT